CCATTAATGTTTTCCTATAATTTTAGGTAGACCTTTTTGAGGTAAGTAATCTTTTTTGTGCAATTCCTAATTTGAGGTAAATCTTTGTATCTTATTTGTGAAACTAATTAGTTGAAATTCAATGGACTCTTTGTTTTCTTTTTTCTCCCTTGAAAATTAACTGAGATCCATGAATGAATTTTTTTATCATAAAACAAAATTTTCTCGCTTCTTTTTGAATGTGAATTTTAATAATGAGTAATAATAATACTTGTCGTAACGGTTTTGGGACCGTCAGACGTAAAAACGGAGTTTTAAAATCGAGAAAAATAAAAAGGGAGTCGTCACCAATCTTTGTTAGGGTGTGATTGGTCACCAAAAAGTTTATCTTTTTAATAAAATTATAAAAACGAGTTTAAAGTTTATAAAAAAGATAAATTTCGGTCTACGAAAAATCAAGTTGGGTCCGAGAGTCGGTTACGCGTGGGGAAATATTAGCACCCCCACAACGCTCATAAATTGGTACCATTTAATTATGCGTTATTTTCGACGTTGAATAAAAATAGTTTTAATTTAAAATTTAACATTAATTCCCTTCATTTAAAAATATTTTTGCTAAAATTTTTATTTAGGAATATTGAGAAAATCTTTAAGTTAAACAATTATCTTAAAATTCTCCAATATCTAGGTAGAATTTGAAATAACTCTTTTCGCTTAAGATTTAACATAACAATCCTTAAAATGAAATAACACTATTTATAGAAAATTGTTAGTAACTCTCCAACATCTAGACAGAGTATCAAGAATTATTTCTTTTGGAATGTTATTTTTATTTTATTGTATAATATCACAAAAATATATTTTTTAAAAGTATTATTCCCTTTTTTTTACTATAAAATATTTTATCATCGAACAGCAAATTAAAGAGAGAATAATGCAATCGATTATCGATGATAACATGCTAACGTATGTATGCTAATGAATGTCATTTATAATGAAATGCAATTTAAGAGTTTGATTCTTAAGTATAATGAGACCACCCCGACTCTCCAACATCTAGGCAGAGCTTAGGTGCGACTATTTATATTTAAGATCCCAATTTTATTATACCTTTATTTATTAATCTTATTATTAATGTGAATTACGAACTCGTGTGAAAAGACTTAACGAAGTAAAATTTCCTAAATACCTCATCATCTAGGCGATATTCGGGAACAAATTGCTTTAAATAGAAATTTCACACGCGTCCTTAGGATTTTTAGGACTTTGGATTTCAGGGATTTTGGATTTTTGGGAGTTTGGATTTAAGGGATTTTGAAAATTAAAAATTAGTATTTAAGGTTTAAGTAAAACACGAATATCTCTAAAAATCCCCATCATCTAGGCAGATTTTCGGAGCAGGTTCAATTTTTTATAATTTTTGAAAACTAATTAAAAATTTCTTATATTTATTTTTTTATGAAAATTTATTAATAATAATTCCGTGAAATTATTTATTTAGAAAAATATTTTTATTCCTTCAAACATCTAGGCAGGGAAAATAATAAAAATTATTTATTTTTTTAAAGCATTTTAATATATTTTTAATTATTATTTGTTTTTAATTTTATTATTATTAAAAAATTAAACATTTATTTTAACAAATTTATAAATTTATCATATATTTAAAATAACAAAAATAATAATATAAAAAAAATTAAAAATTCAAAATTTTTTTACCTGAACCGGACGGTCAACGACCGGTTCGGATGGATCGAAAAGAGATCGGTTCGGCTCGCGGTTCAGTAGAACCAGCTGAGGAGCGGTTCGGTCCGGTTTGATTGAACCGGCTCAGAGCTGTTGGAGGAAACGGGTCAGCGGGTCGTTGCGCGGATCCGAGTCGGGTCATGGGCGTGCGGATCCTCCTGGTCCAGACGTCGTCGTTTTGGCTATTTGTTCCCCTATAAAGGACCCCTGTTTTTTTTTTCAGCTCATTCTGTTTGTTTCAGAAAAAAACCGGGAGAGAGGGGAGAGAGAAAGCTCTGAGGAAGAGCTCCGTCCGGTCGCCGGACCACCGCGCCGGCCGCTGCCTGGGTAGCCGCCGGCGGTGGTAGGAAATTTCAAAAGTGACCAGGAGGTTCCTTTCGACGCGATCTTTTCAGATCTGGTCTCCTCTTCGCCGGAAAACGACCCCGATCGACGTAATCGGGTTCTAAGTTTTTCTGTTCTTCTTCCTTTTTTTTACTTTTTTTTTTTTTTATAAAATACTCAAACTAATAACCTTGCTTTTCTTGTGCAGGTACCTCCTTGGCGCTGGGTTCCTCGCCGATTCGGCGAGGACTGTGTTATTTTTTCGTTTCTGTTTTTTCTTTTTTTTTTTTCGGTGGTGTAGTTTCTGTTTGAGTATATCAGCTTGTTTTGGTGATTCTTGGCTAACACTCTCTTTGATGATTTCATTCTGATGCCGTGTATTATTTTAGGAGGCAGAGGAGAAAAATGAAGAATCAAGTTCTAGTGGCATCTCTAAGTCTGGGAAACGACATGTTAAACCTGTAGATCCTTATCCTTTTGGAGAAAAATTATTGAAGGTTACCTATTATTATCTTTTCCCTGTGCTTTAGATTCCTGATTAAAGTCCTCGTGCTGTAAAAATGTGTTACGCTAATGCCTATTAAGCTAAGACTGTTTAATCTGTATTTTTTTTTTCAGACAGAGTATCCCTTGTCAGAAGCAACGAAGTACTTGAAGTTGCTTCAGAAGAGCTCACCTGATTCTTTGGAGACGCACTTACTTTCTTTGAAGTAAATATGAGAAAGCAGAAGATTTTGCTTGCCTTTCAGGTATTATATTTTCCAAGAATTGAACATGAGATGTGTTTCTTGTTCTTTTTGTGTTTGGTCAACTAGAACTGATATTTAATTGTCAGCTAGTGGTTTGTGAGGAAGCCCCTTCTCTTGTTTTCTCCTCTCTTTTTTCACTTTCTGCCTGTGGATATGTTCTTGAAATAAAGAAACTGTACCGTTTAACCAAACATCCTTTTCTTATTGCTCTACTCACTCAATGAATTTATGTGTGAATTAGATAGTTTGCACGACATATCTTTGAGTTGTAGAACAATGGTTTTGTGCAGTAGTACTTTTACTATTTCATGAGCTCATATTAGTACGTTTGTCTTGGTTTTATTTTGTTTTCCTGAAGGCTGTAAAGCAACTGCTAAGGCTGGATGCTGAGAATCCAGATTCACATCGCTGCTTGGTATGTAACATCTGCCCTACCATATTTGTGCACTGCCATGCACAACTGCATTCTTTTCTGTTCTTAGATACAAAGATCATGTAATCTTTACAATGCTTATTTGAATTTAATCTAATGCAGATTAAATTTTTCCATAAATTGGGCTCAATGCCTGCTCCATTAACTGATGCTGAAAAACTTGTTTGGAGTGTCTTAGAAGCTGAGCGTCCATCCATCAGGTTCTCTTTGAAATGGTTTTATGATAGCTATTCCCCCTACTAGAATTTTGTTGTGTTACTGTTACTATTATTATTTTGATCCCTGATGCATTAAATCCCTTTATTTTCTCTTTCCGCAGTCAATTGCAGGAGAAAACTCTTAGTGAGGCGAACAAAGTTTTCCTTGGTAAACATGAAGGAAGGTATTACGACCTTTACATAACATGATGCATTTTAGGTTCATTGAGGTAGGTTGTATAATCATGCAAATTTCACTTTTTGGTTCTGCAGAATCTTTGATGCATATAGTGGCAGTTGCAGAAATGTTATATACCTTGGAGCAGACCAAGAAACTTGAGGCTGTTAAGTAGAGAATTAGTTGGTGGAGGACAAATTGGAATGTGTGAGGAATGTGGAGACCTTCTGAAGGTTTGATTTCTACCATCTTAATTTTATTTAAATTTTTTTACTTCAAATAATGCCCGATTTGATTTTTTTCTATTTTTTTCTGATGATAAAATGTGTTCTCGTTATAGACTGTAGATAATGATATTGCTAGTGTAAACTGTTTTATTATGTCTTAGCTGTTAGTCATATTAATTTGATTTTCTGTTTGGTATTTTTTTTTAATGAGCTCCAAATGGTACCTTGGGATGTTCTGTTCATTATATTTACTATGGATTTCTTCTCTCTCTTATTTATAGAATCACATTATGCAAATCCAACGAAAACCTTACTTTTTTATAGAGCTATCAAGCTTTCTCCCCTTTTCTAGAGAGAGGAGGGGCGGCTATTTTTACAAATACTCTTGTAGGGATCTTGTTTTTCTTGATGGCTTGATAAGAAATTATGTGACAAAAATCTAGTGATGTGGTTCTACAATAGACACAGTCCATTCGATGGCTTGTGATATTCTTAAATAATCTAGAAATAGATAGTTGTGGTATTATGCTGAAATACTTCATTGATGTCTTGATGTGACAATAGTAAGAACTCTAGGTGGTTAAAATTATGCTTTCATATGCTTCACCCCTAGAGAGTTGACATGGTGGCTAATTCTTTTATTAGTGGCTATCTTTATCTCATTCTTTTAGTTAAACTGACTTTCCTATATAAAAACCTTTTGACGATGGGCCAGGTTATGGCATGATTGAAATAAAGTGTCAAACTCTAGAGCTTTTGGAATTTGACTCATGCAGTGAGGATGTATTTAAATTGTTTTCTTCCTGTAACCCACATTTGTTATGTATTCATTCATGAGAATTGTAATTATTGCTGTTACAATGTGCATCATTATTGCCAATAAATGCTACTTCCTTTATGATGTGTGATGAATGTTCTAGGACTTATATTAAAACTTTGTTTTCTCAATTTTTAGAGGATACCACTTGATTTACTGCAAGGAAACAAATTTCGTAAAGCGGCAATCGATTGCATTAAGCCTTTTCTAGCCTTTATATACAGGTGAGATTTTTTTTTTTTTTGTATTAGTTTGACTGGCTATTGTTTCTTGATCTTTTGGAGAAGTTCTTGGAATTTTCTTGAAGCTGGGTCTATGTGTATATTATTTACTTCTCTTTGGTGACAGAGTCGGATACTGAAACATGTTGGTGATTTGGTAGCTGTGGCTTCATTAACAGATGAAGCTAGGTGTATGGATCTTGCAGATCGCTATATAAACAGTTAATCTGTGAAGCGAATGTTGCAGTCTGATTAGGTTCTAAGGCTTCCCCACTTCATCTTTTGTCATAGTTAATATTTGTCACTAAATTTCTTTCGGTATTATTGTACTGTTCACAAACTTTTTCTACTTTTGAAGTGGCTTTGGCAGGAAAAACTGCTGTTTTGTTCACGAAAGATGGGGGCCAGCACAACAACCTTCAAGACATACGGTGCATGTGGTCTGTTTTTGTTTATTACCTTCCACATGTTGTTGTCTCTAATTATAATTTGGGTACACCTACTGAGTGTTATCCATCTTTTGAAGGTATGAACTTGCTTCTGATGAAAGTTACTTTCGACATGGTGATTTTGGACGGGCCCTGGAGAAATTTATAGCTGTGGAGAAGCACTATGCTGATATTACTGAAGATCAATTTGATTTCCATTCTTATTGTTTGCGGAAAATGGCACCACGTGCATATGTTGGAAAGCTAAAATTTAAAGATTGGTTGCATTCACATGCTTATTTTCACAAAGTAGCAGCTGGAGCCATTAGGTGAACATTTTTGTTAGGATCTGCAACCTTTTCAATGATTTGCAATAGACTTATTCTGTTTGGTTGTGGCCTGTACGTGTAAAATGCTATGCAAGCTCTGTTGTCTACTTGTCTGGGTGCTTTTAGCGTCTGTCACCTATTGTTGATTAACACATGCATGTGATGCTTCCTTTTGGGTTAGATTCCTCTTTGCCTCCCTCCTTTTCCCTTTGTCTTTTGGGGAATATGGGATTATTGCATACATATATGTTGCATTAATCATATGTTGCAATGATGTGTTGTCTGAACCTTGCTTTCAAAGCATGAAAAACTTCCTAAAGGTAACTGTTGTTCATTACTTACCCTTGTACAACTATTCATTTGTTAATAATTAGACACTCCCATTATGATATCCAATCTAATTGAAGACTCTTCTAGCAGCCCCTCCATTAATAGGAGAGGGGATATCATATCAAGATTTCCGATTCCCCTCTCCTACTCTTAACTTTTCCTTGAATCCTAGACGTAAGGATTTACAACATTTTTGAAGACAAAACCTTGCTAAGTTTATAATCAAGAAAGTATCAAGAGTCCTTTTCTTGCACTTGTTTTTGGTAGAGAAAATTTTTTGAGTCATATGAGCAAAGCAGAATATAGGGTTCCAAGTTTTTTGTTGATCAAGCAACAACCTGATTTGAACCGGGGAATAAGGGATTTGCAATCCCCCGCCTTACTGGTTAGCCATGTCACCAAAGGTTAGAAACCAAAAAGAATGAGTGTATCCCCTTTATAACTTTAGTTATAGATTGGATCCATACCTTCAATTAGTTATAGTATCTCAAGTAAAAAAATTAGTATTGTTCTTTTTTTCTTTCAATAAAAAAAATTCTTAATTTGATTTATATTATAATGTAATAATATAACAACAATTATGAGTCTAGGTAAACCCCATAACGAAAGTTATTGCACGGCAACAAAAAGTTCAACCCAACAATGAAAAGCAGCTTGAGGTTTTTGTTCTTTTCATCCCTATGCCATTATGAAAAATTTTATCTTTACGAGTACCCATTTGCATTTTCATTGATTTATGATTTGGGTGAGTGTTTTTTGATTTCATTTTGTGTCTCTTGTCATCTATTGTCTTGCTTATAAGTACTCCAGTTTAAGGGTACCCATTTGCCTGTACTGCTAGTTCATACATTTGAAGATTTTATCTTGGTTAATGAGGAGGTCAAATAATTTGATAGAATTTCAAGCTGTTGCTATTGGAAATTACCTTCTGCAGATGTTTAGCTCAGAAATCAGATTGATTTAGTTAGATATATGAGGGTTGATTAGGAGACACTGTCTGGTGTAATATAAAAGATTTTGGCTGAGGGGCTCAAATGAGCAAGTTCAAGTCCTGAAAGTAGCCTCATTGTGTAAAAAATGCTGAATCCTAAAGGCTAGGAACATTTTTCAAATGACTCTTCTTGGTTTCTCATCCTTCATTGGCAGGATTGAGGCTGAGTAATGATCCTCTTTATGAGGGTAGATTATACAAAAGGCTGTTTAGAAAGCTTTCTCCAAATTGCTATAAAAACCAACCATCATAGCAAAACGGCAGTGTTTGTGTTTCTTCATTCTTGGGTTCTTCCACACACTGAAATAACCTTTGCATATCAACAGGAGCTGACCTCAACCTCTGGACCTTGTGATCCTTTATGTTGAGTTGATGAAGCTAGCTCGTTAGATTTTGAAGTTACTTACCAGCCAAAGACTAATTTGTTGAAAACTATTGGTGTTTTCACAGCAGCTTTAACAGGGACTGTGGCAATTAACCTATCATGGGTTACCAACATCCAGGTTTATCTTTAATTTCTTGTGCAATCCTTTCTTTGTAGGTTGTAATCATTTTTTCATCTTTGGCCAATATTTTGTATATTCTTGTATTATCCACAGAAGCCTTTCTTAATTTGATCTAATTTCATAATGCATATTTCTATGGCATTGCTTTTTGTAATAGGATATGCAGGCATTATCTTTGAAGAATTTCTAGCCTTCAATAAAAGTGGAATAGATTGTTGATGGCTGTGAGTTTATGGGTGGTAAGGAGCATAGGGGTAAGAATGATTCTCAGATGTTTAGGATTGGACTGTGTTTTTCTGCTGTCCCTCTTCTTGTAGTTTGCATCGTTTTTTTCTCATTGAGGCTTTGTTATGTCATGTTTTGATTTTTTTTGTGACACGTTTATCTATATTAGTTTAGTTTTTGGAATTTAACTTTTTGAAAAACCCCTTAGTTGTGGCTTCTTAAGTGTGGATATTATTTAGTAGTTGTCTGCTCTAAGCGAATGGCTTGCATGATAAGGAGGAATTCAATTTCTGTGCCTCTTGTGTATGTATATTTTGCAAGTTTCTTGTTTTGTTTGTTACAATCTTTTTGTTGTAGGATAGAATAGTTTTTTTCTTTTAATTTCTGAAACTTAATTTTGACGAGGATAGAAATTGCTACTTAAAAAGAAGATTATCTGTATGGGCTGTGTGCTCTAAGCAAATGGCTTGCAGTATAAGGTCAATTCAATTTTTGTGCATCTTGTGTGTGTAGGCGTCTTTTGAGAGTTTTTTGTTGTGTTGGTTTCACTCTGTTTGTTAGGTTAAATTTTTAAAATTTAATTTTGACATGCATTGGGCTTGAATGCTTAAAAGGAAGATTATTTCCTTTTGCTGGATTCTTTGAAACTCTAAATATATGTTGTCATAGGCTCTCAGTTGGTGTCTTTCTCGTTGAGATTGTGTCTTGATTCTTCTTGTTTCATTTTTAAACTTTTACATAAATTAGGGCTTTGTAACTTTACTTTGGAAAATTCCTTGGGTTGTTCTTCCTTTAGTGTGGTTCGTGATTCGTTGGTTTCTGTGAAACTTATGCGCTATGTGCTCCAAGAACGACTTGCAGTGTAGGGGAATTAAGGATTCTAAAGTTGTATGTGTGTAGGATTTAAGGATTAAAAATTTGTGTGGCTGTGTATGGGAGTTTCCTTTTGTTTTTCTCTTTGTGTGCTCTAAGCTAATGGCTCGCATGATTAGCTGAATTCAATTTCTGTGCCTGATGTGTGTGTAGGTGTATTTTGGGAGTTTTTTGTTTTGTTGATTTCACTCTATTTGTTACAGAACAGGTTGGTTTGTTGGGTTCAATTTCTGAAACTTAATTTTGACATGCATCGTGGTCAAATGTTTAAAAGGAAGATTATTTCCTTTTGCTGGATTCTTTGAAATTCTCAATATGTGTATGGGAGTTTCCTTGTTGTTTTGTAGTGTAGGGGGAATTAAGGATTCTAAATTTCTATGGTTGTGTAGCACTTAAGGATTAAAAATTTATGTGGCTGTGTATGGGAGTTTCCCTGTTGTTTTTCTCTTTGTGTGCTTCAAGCATTGAATTCAATTTTTGTGCCTCTTGTGTGTGTAGGTATGTGTTTAGGGAGGTTTTTATTTTGTTGGTTTCACTCTATTTGTTACAGGGCAGATTGGTTTGCTAGGTTCAATTTTTGTAATTTAATTTTGACATGCATTGTGGTTGAATGCTTAAAAGGAAGATTATTTTCTTTTGCTGGATTCTTTGAAACTCTAAATATATGTTGTCATAGGCTCTCGGTGTCTTTCTCATTGAGATTGTCTCTGGATTCTTCTTGTGTCATTTTTAAATTTTTACATAAATTAGGGCTTTGTAATTTTATTTTAGAAAATTTCTTGGGTTGTATTTTTTTTAGTGTGGTTTGTGATTCGTTGGTCTCTATGAAACTTATGCGCTATGTGCTCCAAGAACGACTTGCAGTGTAGGGAGAATTAAGGATTTTAAAGTATGTGTGTAGGATTTAAGGATTAAAAATTTGTGTGGCTGTGTATGGGAGTTTCCTTGTTTTTTTTCTCTTTGTGTGCTCTAAGCTAATGGCTCGCATGATTAGCTGAATTCAATTTCTCTGCTTGATGTGTGTGTAGGTGTATTTTGAGAGTTTTTTGTTTTGTTGATTTCACTTTGTTACAGAGCAGTTTGGTTTGTTGGGTTCAATTTCTGAAACTTAATTTTGACATGCATTGTGGTAAAATGTTTAAAAGGAAGATTATTTCCTTTTGCTGGATTCTTTGGAACTCTAAATATGTGTATGGTAGTTTCCTTATTGTTTTGTAGTGTAGGGGGAATTAAGGATTCTAAATTTTTATGGTTGTGTAGCATTTAAGGATTAAAAATTTATGTGACTGTGTATGAGAGTTTTCCTGTTGTTTTTCTCCTTGTGTGTTTCAAGCAGTGAATTCAATTTCTGTGCCTCTTGTGTGTGTAGGTATGTGTTTAGGGAGGTTTTTATTTTGTTGGTTTCACTTTATTTGTTACAGGGCAGATTGGTTTGCTAGGTTCAATTTCTGTAATTTAATTTTGACATTGTGGTTGAATGCTTAAAAGGAAGATTATTTCCTTTTGTTGGAGTCTTTGAAACTCTAATTATATGTTGTCATAGGCTCTCAGTTGGTGTCTTTCTTATTGAGATTGTCTCTGGATTCTTTTTGTGTCATTTTTAAATTTTTACATAAATTAGGGCTTTGTAACTTTATTTTGGAAAATTTCCTTGGGTTTTTCTTTTAGTGTGGTTGTGTTTTGATGGTCTGTTTGAAACTTAATGCGTTGTGTGGTCCAAGAATGACTTGCAGGGGAATTATGAATGCTAAATTTGTATGGTTGTGTGTAAGATTTAAGGATTAAAAATTTGTGTGGCTCTGTGTGTATGGGAGTTTTCTTCTTGTTTTTCTCTCTGTGGCATGACAGATGAGGTTTTTAGGTTTCACTGGCTTGGCTTTTTTAGTTATTGATGATGTTGTCAAACTTTTTATTGTGGTTGCATCTAATTTGATGAAGTTGTTTGAGAATGCATTAGTAGAATATTACTGCAAAAGAAATTCTTGGGTTGTGGTTTCTTCATTAATGAGTGTGCCTAGTTGTCATCTGTTTCTCTTTGAAGCTTAATGGGCTATGTGCTCCAAGCATACCTTTCAGGATAGAAGGAATTAAAGTCTCAAAATTTCTATGTGTGTTTGTTGGTTTTATTCTGCAAGTTGGCTTCTAGATTTCATTCTCATAGCTTTTGGTTAATGTCTAATTTTTTGTTGTAGTGCTTTTGATTTGCTGGAGTTTGATCTGAACTTCAATTAATATTTGATCTCTTATGCTTTAACATTCCATTTAAATTTTAGTTTTATCTTTTGTGTACAGATTGTAGTTTTGTAAACTTTTCTTAATTGTGGTTGCATTTAGTAGTCTATACGGAAATTAGTTGATCGTGTACTCCGAACACGATTTGCTAGAGAGAGGAATTAGAGATTGTATAGCAGTGTACTCCAAATTTGTATGGTTGAGTTTTCTATTTTTTATTTTTTTATTTTGCTAGTTCAACTCTGTTGCATGACAAATTATAATCTTAGGTTTAATTTCAAAAACTTAATCCAACCTCGCACTGAGGATGAGTGCTTACAATGAAGAGTACCTCTTTCTTCTTGTGTTGTGTTTGATTCTTCTTGTTTTGCTGATTTCACTTTACTTTGTTGCATGATTGATTACTTTCTTAAGATTAATTTCATAAACTTAAATCTAGTTAAGCACTGAGATGGAAGATTGCCTCTTTCTTATTGGATTCTTTGAAAGTCTATGATCTTGCATAGAATTTTTGTTGTATTGTATGGTAACTTTCGATGATAGCTGTACTTGTTCTAGTACATTTCAGATCATGAAGAGTTTGATTAAAGTGGCTAAAATTCTGTGTTTCTGATTATAATATAGACTTTGTTTTCTTAAGTAACACTGTTATTTTGGAAGCATCCTGACTTATGATGTGGTTGGTGGCTGTTGTTTTTTAACTTTGGTATATAATTGTTGTATATTTATGTTGAGATGCAAAACTACCTCTTATCTTTGGCCTTTCATTATAATCTTTTTCTGTTAAGGTTTTGTTGCTTTAGTTTTAATTTCTCTTTAGGTTTTTAAAGGCCTTCTACTTTCGTATCTTTAGGTTTTCGAGTTAAAACATTTATAATGTCTGATTTGTGAGCAATGGATGTGATTAGGTTTATTTTGTAGGCAATCTTTGCCTTGAATCTTTTTGCTTGAGCAATGAAGTTCAAGTTTGATTGTCTTTATTTCTAAAATAGCATTGTTCTTTATACATGTGGGATGTTGCTTGTGTTTAACTTAAATGCAGCATTGTTCTTTATATATGTGGCATGTTGCTTGTGTTTAACTTAAATGCAGATCACCTTATTATTAAGCATTGTTGAATGAGACTTTGACTTCATTAAAAATGGAAGATGTTATGTGTATGTATATTAATTAGATATCTAATTAAGATCCTCTTGATCTTGAAATTTATTTTTATTTATTGTGTAATTTATGTAATTAACAAAATTATATTATATAATATTTATTTTTTATTTAATATAATTTTGATTTTTTTTTATTATTTTGGACTGTATAATATTTATCTTTTATTAAGAGATAATAATTATTTTATTTAATATATTTTCTTTTTTTTATTTTAGTCTTTTTTATTTTTTTATTTTTGATTTTTTATATTTTTATTGTATTTTTGTTTATCTTTTTTGTTTTTCATCAACTCTTTCCTTTTAAAATTTTTTTTACTTATTTTTTTAATGTGCTTTCATTTTTTTTTTGTTTTCACTTTTTTCTTTGTTTTAAAATTTTTTACAAAACTTTTCTTTTTATTTTATTTCATATTTTTGCCTCTTCATTTTTTATTTTTTCTTATTTTTCTAATTTTTTTCACAGTTATTTTTATTTCTTGTTTCCATTTTTTTTACACTTCCTTGAATTTTTTGTTTTTCATAAATCTTTTGTCTTTATTTTTATTCTTTTCTTAATTTTTTTACAATTTTTTTTATTTCTTATTTTCATTTTTAAATTCTTATCGTTTTTTTTTTTGTTGCATTTTCTTCTTTTGTTTTCATTTTTATTTTGCATTAACTTTTCTCATTTTTAATTTTGTCTTTGATTTTTTATATTGTTTTCTTATTATTTTTTTATATGTTTTTTAATTTTGTTTTTTTTTATTTTCTCATTTCATTTCATTTTTGTATTTTTGATTTTCTTACAAATATTTTTTATCGTATTTTTGTTTATTTTATATTTTTTTGTCTTTTATTTATCTTTTTTGTTTTGCTTTAATATTTTTTTTTAATTTTAATTTTAATTTTATTTCTTATTTCTTTCTTTATTTATATTTTTATAAATTTTTATCATGTTTTTAGTTTTTTAATTTTTCTGTCTTTTTTCTCTTCCTTATTTATTTATCTTTGTTGGTTATTTTTTGTTTTATTTTTATAATTTTTCATTAACTCTTTTTCCTTTTTCCTTTTAAGTTTTTCATTTTTTTACTCATCTTTTCATGTGCTTTCATATTTTTTTTTTTTCACATTTTTCTTTGTTTTAAAAATTTCTACAAAACTTTTTTCATCTTTTTATTTTATTTCATAT